CACCTCCGCTGCCAGCAGCACTGGCTGGTCCTTGTGAACAGGTCCCAGGCGGCAGCCGGTGACTTGTTACCCCTGCTGCCCTCCATCTGCCCTCTCCATCTTCCCCGTCTTGCTGCCCCTCCCTGCTCTGCCCCTTTATGCCCTGTAGCCCGCCTGCTCCTCCATCTCCCCCTGTAGGATGTGGCCCTGTTCAAGTGCTGCCTCAGGGAGATGTGATTCCAGGTACCAGGAGAAGGGAGTTTGTCTAGGCGGCAGCCGGTGACTTGTTACCCCTGCTGCCCTCCATCTGCCCTCTCCATCTTCCCCGTCTTGCTGCCCCTCCCTGCTCTGCCCCTTTATGCCCTGTAGCCCGCCTGCTCCTCCATCTCCCCCTGTAGGATGTGGCCCTGTTCAAGTGCTGCCTCAGGGAGATGTGATTCCAGGTACCAGGAGAAGGGAGTTTGTCTTTGGGGCCCAGTCTGGCAAGGAGGGAGGAGAGCACCAGCCAGGGAGGGCCAGGTCATTTGGTCACCCCAGCCTGTGAGAGAGGTGTATGGGGAAGAGGAGGTGTCTCCCTCTGCCGTGTGAACCCTAAAGCCTTAAAGATAAGAAGGCTCCAGATACACAGTAATTATATTTAACCAGAATTTGATGTTAATTTGAACCTTTGTACTGCTCAGTCTTGATTCATTTCTTTGGAGCTCACTTGAATACGAGTAATTTTAACAGGTGTCTGGTATTCAACATAGGGAAATACGGTCACCCTAGCCCTAGTGTTTTTTTCATATAATCGGCCACTTAGGTAGATTTTGCTTCCTGAATATTTACTACAGGACAGATTAAATGTGAAAGGGCCAAGATACTTTTGAAAATAATTTTGCACTGGAAAACTTATTTCAAATCCGTATTTCTATAAGTAAATCCCCATCTTATGAACACTTGAAGTACTCACTTTATTTTTCTATTGCATTATTTATTGCATATATACATATTTGGAATTTTACTCAGATATTTGTACTTTTAATCACATATTCTAGTGTCATAGATTCTCTGTATACTACATCTATTGTTCTCTGTATACTACATCTACATTCCAATGGTGCTGTTTTCTCTGACAATCCTGCTGTTCTGTGTTGCCAAAATCCAGGGATTTTAAAATGAATTATCTCTTTTTGCAAGGATCCAGAGCACAGTGCTGACCTCAGGAAAGATGGTATCCTCCTGCGTTTCTGCAGGGAAACAGCTAATGCATGTTCATCCAAAACACGTTTGTTTTGCAGAGACCTAGGTTATGCCACTTCTTGCTGCTCCCTTTGGCTGCAAGTAGCAAACCCCAGCCAATGGGAGCTGTGCGGCTCCATGGCTGCGGAGCTGGTAAATAAACAAACTGGAGCAGCCCATTAAAATCCTAGAATCCTAGAACTGGAAGGGACGTTGAGAGGTCATCGAGTCCAGTCCCCTGCCCTCTTGGCAGGACCAGACACTATGACTGCATCTAGACTGGCAAGATTTTGCGCAAATACTTTCAACGGAAAAGTTTTTCCGTTAAAAGTATTTGCGCAAGAGAGAGTCTACACTGGCATGTAGACATCTTTTGTGCAAAAGCATCCGTGCCAGTGTAGACGCTCTCTTGCGCAAGAAAGCTCCAATTGCCATTTTAGCCATTGGGCTTTCTTGCGCAAGAAATTAACTTGGCTGTCTACACTGGCCCTCTTGTGCAAGAATACTTGCGCAAGAGGGCTTATCCCTGAGTGGGAGCGTTATAGTATTTGCGCAAGAACCACTGATTTAGTACAGTACAAAGTCAGTGTTCTTGCGCAAATACTCGCGGCCATTGTAGACAGGCGGCAAGATTTTGCACAAAAGTAGGTGCTTTTGCGCAAAATCTTGCCAGTCTAGACGCAGCCTATCTAAATCAGGGGTCAGCAACCTTTCAGAGGTGGAGTGCTGAGATTTGACTTGTTCACCTCTATGTCCAGGTCTGAGCGCCAGTGTGACAGACCAGGCTAGGTCTGGGCACCGCAGAGGGCATCTGCTCAGGGTGAATTGCTCAAAACCAGGGCTGCTTAGAGCCCCAGACTGGAGACCTTTCCCAAACAGATTACAAACCAGTCACACCGAGTGCTTCAGCTGCCAATCCAGCCACAGGAAGCCTCATGAGCAAACCCCCTCAGACACCCCAGATCTCCCTGTGCCACAATTAGCTCCGGGCCTTACACACAGGTGAGGGGTTACAGAACCCAATCTCACCTACCCCGATCAGGGTCTCCCGATCCCAAAGAACCAGCCACAAATTCCCTGTCAATTTACACTTTAGAAGATCTTACCCACAAGATCATGCTGGGACAACACTTTAGAATCTAAAATGTAAAGGTTTATTAATAAAAGAAAGAAGAGGTTGGGAGTAAGATTGTTAAGGAGAATATATTACATGCACCAGTCACCAAGTTCTTGATGCAGGCTCTCAGCAGAGGTGTTACAAACTGCTATCTTAAAAATCTCTGGTGTACATCCTATGTCCGGATGAGTCAACAATCCTTCCTGGCTTTCTGTTCCTCGCAAGGCTGCATCTAGATCAGCTGCAGAATTGAAGACAAAATGAAGTCTGCCTCATGGCACTTTATATCCATTCCTGGTATCTTTCAATCTGGAGCGGGTCACACGGTCAATTGACCTAACCCTGTGACCCCTGCTAGCAGTCATTAGATCTG